TAAAAGGTTGCTATGTTTTTTGAAGCTATTATAATAATAATTGGTTTAAAATCGTTGTTAAAACCGTTAAATTATAAAATAAAACATATTATTCATATTATAGAGTTTGTATTTTTAATGGGCAACGAAGTGCACGGGATCAGCTAGTATAAAATATATTTCAGTCATGAGTGGAATTATTTTGGAGAATATCATGTGCTTATAATATCATATATTAGATTCTGAGCGGAGCGAGGAAGCTATTGCTTTTACAATGGTGTTTATTTTTTTATATCTTGTATACAACATTTCTACCATAAGGAGTGCTTTGATTTCAACATATAGTACCTTATCTTTTAGAAAATTGGATCAAGATGGTACTTTAAAGAGGTCATAACGTCAACCTAACCTATTTTTCATTTACTCTCAATTTTTTCGGCACTATGATAATTCCATGAATAATGACGTATTTTATTAATCTTTGAAGTTTTTTAAATTTGTACCTAAAATATTACCATAAATTATAAATAATAAAACATAATATTTAGCTTTTATATTTCGTATTCATATAGGTACTTTAATTTGTTTTGTATTATTTAGTACTTTAGTTGTCAAGGATAATTTAATTTATTTTTATAATTCTTTATCAGTCTTCAGTTTAATCTTTATTTCATGTCAAACCTACCTATCACCTTGCTTATTCATATATATGCAAATTCCATTCTAAAAACACGTGAACATGTGCGATCAAAGCACCAGTTCATATACTTCTAATTTGTCGACAAGTGTGGTGTGATTTTTATTTCTAGGCTTCTCCTTTGGCTAAAGAATTACGAATATTACTATTATTAAATTTACTATGTAGTAGGTAGTTAAAAAAAGTATTACAGACAATGTGTCATAAAGTTGACCCTCGTAATTACAAGCATAATATAGTGTCTAAATTTAAAATTTCAATCTGCAGACAGTTCTTTTAAAGTAGATACACAATTTAATTGAAAAGTCAGATTGCCCTTTAATAAGGTCCTTCTTAATTACACGTTTGTTATTATAGTCTTAGTGAGCAACCTATTTTTATGTATGTTCATGAAGTATTTTTGGATTGGCAGACGAAGTGTTTTGAAATGCATATATTGTCATTGGTATACCTATATACCAACGTTGCTACGCATAGACATATAGTATATCATCAACACTAAATATTGGATAGGTATCTTATACATTAATCGTTTATTATGTAAAATAGATACTTATTAGTAGTTATTATCATATATTATTATTTATATTTCAATAAAAAGGTACCTACACCTATAATAATAACGATGTTGTATCTTTCTTCTTATGGATATAGATGAATGACAAGGACAAATTTTAGAACTATGTCCAATTATATTAGTACACGATAATATGTAATTTGTATACAGTAAACTTTTATTGTTTGTTTGAGTATAAAGTTAATTTATTAATATAATCGAATAAACAGTTTATTTAAGCCACATTTTGAGTATACTTAATCTAGTTTATCCAAAATGTCTTATTGCAAAGTTTATGCTACAAAATGTATCGTATTTTTTAATATGATATAATACTGTATAATACTGTATTTAATTACCTGTCTAAGACTGTAATTACACTAATACATTTTTATTTAATTTGTTGATAAAGCACTTATACGTAATTGCTTATGAAGTATTGAAAATTGATATACGTTATACTTGCACAGTTATAGGTACCTCAATATTAATATTAATAATAGTAAAAATAATAATAATATCATAGTCTCGTAGGTATCTAATAAATTGTCGGCCTTATATAACTTTTATTCATATAAACTGGATGATTATTTTAAGTTTAAACAATTAACATTTCCTATCATTTCCTATAATTTACCTTTTTAAATAATTTATATAATTTAAAATCATTATAAAATAACATTTTCGAAAATAATTATACTTTGTACCATTTTAATTTTTTTATCTGAAGCTACTTTTATAAAAATGTTGACGTCCAAGAACCAAATTCTTAACGGTTAGTTAATTAGATAGTTATAAAAAACTTATAAGTATTTAAAGTTTAAATTAGGTGCATGTAGTAGATCTACATATTGGCATATTGCGATTTACCACTGTTCCAATCCACACAACTAATTTAAACTTTAAAATAGTGCTTAAACTTTATTTAACTTTAGTTATTAAATACTCGTTTGAAATTCAACTTTTATTAAACATCAAAATATTTTCAGACAAATATTCTTCTTTGGAACATAAAATTAAAAATATAATATAACGTTGTTTAAAACTAATTATTTAAAAAAATATTTTGAAAACCGTTTGTTTTGCAATAGACATCTAACCTATATTATTGAGTATATTGTATATGTATTGTAAAATTAAATTGTTTGAAATCATACCTAATCATTTTTAAAAATAAATATTTTTCTTTAGGTACTTTGTGTAATATTTATACATTTATTAAAAAATTAATTCTACCCCCCAATATGGCTAAATCACCCCGTTACCTCCAGTATTGTTAAACATTGTAATACTTAATATTACCTCGATGTTATAGTATATATTGATTAATGTTTAGACGATTAAACACTAATCTAACATTGAATGTTTTTATCATAAAAAATATAATTTAAAGCTTCAGCTGAAAAAAGTAATTGGATTGACGTCATTATGAGATCAAAGTCCACAGTACTAATTGAATAATGTAGGTACATTAATATACTTGAGTCTTAAACAACAAAATATTATTTTTCATATTTTTAATCAGCTATTTCTATGTAATAGAATCTATACAATAATTATAACTTCTAAGTGTGACGTATGTTCTTACAAGTACTTAATTATTTATATTATAATATAAATATGTTTGTGTGTAGGTATAATATTATAGCACTTATAAAATATATTCTTATTCATTATTTATGTCAGTGAAAGTTTAGAAAAATCCAATGAGCGTATTATAATTTTAACTGAGTTTTTTTTGTAAGTTTAATAATATACCTACGAATATATTTTATGTTTTAACTCAACATTCGGTATTGAAATATACCATACACGATTAGTAGCATAAAAATATCGAAAACAAAAATAATAACAATATTGATGAGTGTTTAAGTATTATACCTATTACAGCAATACCTACTTATAAATTACACTAAGCCAGAATATACAACATATGAAATCATGAAGACTATATTATAATATTATTTACTTAAGAAAGAAAATGGTGAATTATAATGATAATGATTATTTAGTTATTGTATAGAACTATATCATATTAAGGAATATTATATACCTATTTTAAAATGTTTAGATAATATTCTTTTTAATACATTGTCACTTGTTAATTGAAATATTTCAATGTTTAGTGTTTATTTTGATCCAATAATACTTTTACCATATTATATTATAGGTACCTTTGTACATTTGTCAACAAAATATTTGTTTACTTACCACACGACCATAAATATATTAAATTATTACGTTTAGAACATAAAAAAACTCGGGCTTATAATTTCTATTATTATACATTTATACATTATATTGTACCTAATGATAAATCCATATTATATTTGAAAATCAATTTCTGAAGATCAGCTGCAGTCTGCAGATTATACCTAGTAATATGCTAATTTTATGTAAAAGTATTATAAATAATTTAATTAATTAAGTTAATCAATATTATAAACTTATCATAGTTATATGTGTGATTATTATTTTCTGAATTCTCATAAAATAACTAAAATAAAATATAAAATATAATATAAAAAACTAGGTATTAATTTTTCTTAATGCTTATTATACATTATAAAAATTGTTTATGATGGAGGATAGCTAATGAGTGATGACATTCGGTACCTGGTACATAAATAACTTACACTTTAACGATTAAAAATTAGATATATAATAGGTAGAACAATGTATAGATAATTTAATGTTTTATTATTATACAATAATATATGAAATATCTGTTTAGAGTTAATTTCGCATAAAGTTTTTAATTATAGAGTTATAATATTATACGGAATATAAACAAAAACAAGTATAACTGCCTGTATTTCATCAGTTATTTTCAGTTTAAAAATCAGTTATTATATTTCATAATTTTTTTTAATACCTAACCTATAATTTGAACAACAATATGAATATTTTATAATTTATACTGTAGAAACTGAGAAACAATCAGTAATAAACTATTTTATTCTATGAAAATTCAAAATTGTATGTGTTAGATTTATAAACCAGGGGCGCCATTTGGGGTATCGCAGGAAGCAGGGTATACATTGGTGGCCCTATTTTCTCCCGTACTTGGCCTGCCTCAATTTTATACTGGCGCCGATGTATTGGTTCAATTGTATCAGTTCAATTGAATTAATTAAGTAATGCAATATAAAAATATTATATAAATAATGCGATATTTTACTATTATCAGTGTTATCACCTTAAAATATTAATGTTAATATTTTTAAGTTAAGGTGCTATTATTAAATGTTTGAATTAGGGTTATAAATGACAGTGTAATCTATAGATTACATAACGACATATCGAATACAAAAAAAGTAGCTTGCTGATTACTAATTTAATTTAAAAGAAGTAAAAGTTCTAGTAGGAGCATAGAGTTCTATTTGTATTACTACCTATAGGCTTTTTGAAGATTTGTTTTTCATCCGTAGTACCTTAGGTTAGAATTAACTACAACATTTCAATTTTCATTGTCATAACTGTGGCCTAGTGGTAGAAAAATGTGGCCTGATAAAAAATTTTGCAGCCCTATTTCAAAACTGAAATGGCGCCCCTGATATACATATTAGAATTTATTTTTTCCAAATTTATAGTTACAATCAATACATTACTATTAAATAGAGTTTTTTATAAGAAATTTAATTTTAGTAAAAATTTGGATACAACATATTATATAAAAGTCCCTGGTAACTGAAAAATAACTTGTTAAAACATTTCTCTCAAAATTGAGTTTTTCAAAGTAGTTTTATTGAAGTTTATTTCCGCGAGTTACCTCTCACGCTCTTCGTTTTCCTTGACGGACAAGATGTCCTCTACTAACTTATAGAACCCTCTATAGTCTATATGATCCTTCAGCCTCTTGGAGAGTAGTAGCCCTCTCGAATTCTCTATCATGTCTGTGGGAAGGTTCAAAAATACAGGTCCACAGAGTAAATCTGGCATATCATCTGCGGTCAAGGACTCGTGCCCATCAACCCACATTGCGTCCCACCTCGGGCATGGAACAAAGTGTGTCCAGCAGTGTCCGAGGTGCTATATAACATATAGATACCCAAGTTTAAGATTCTTCAATAAGGCCAATTTAAAAAAACGTAATTTTGAGATAAATGTTTTAAAAAGTTATTTTTAGTTATCAGAGACTTTTATAATATATTTTATCTAAATTTTTACTAAAATTTAATTACTTATAAAAAACCTTAAATTTAAATGCCCTTGATATAAAAAATTGTATGGTATAAGTATGACAAATATATAATTAATTAACAAAATATGCACCTAATTAGATATTTTATGTACCTATATGGGAACGGGAATATTATATATTATATTCTATAGTTAAAGACAATACAAAACGTATAACAGCAATGGTATCATAGTAAATATATATATTATATCAATTATCAACTTTATAATTTAAAACACAGAGTGGAAACAAATTTAGTTTCCAAAATATTTTTAATACTGTCGAAAACTTTATATTATAGTATGTATTATATTATAGGCATGCTCATTAATTTCATATTCTTATGAGTAGGTATTATAAGTTACTTAGTCAATGTCAAATATTATTAATACTTATAACACTACTAACATATAATTATATCAACAGGTAGTAAAAAAAGGTTAAATGTTATCGCAAATATCGGGTTAAATAAGTCTGCAAAGTGCAAACTAAAAAAAAGAGGGGGGAAACTATAGGTAACCACTCTACTGTACTGTATAGATGTTCAGTGTATTCTGTTATTGGGTAAGTCTCTATCATGTATGTGCTAAATTTGAATTCAATGATACTTCATTGTATCCAAAAAACGATTCTAAGCAAAGACAGTCAGCCTATATTATTAAGTATTTTTTAAGGATATAAAATATATATTACTATTATAGTAATTTAAATTAATTTTAAACGAAAACATTGCTTTAATTTTCTTATTAATATAAATTAATTATTATAATAATGTATATATTTACATCATATTATATTTTATTGATATAAACTTATGAGTCAATATCGACTTCTTGTAGAACGGTGTATAATTTGAATAATTTTGTGCTATAGTAAATTTTTAAAATATTTAAAAACAATAAAAACAATTTGTATAACATTTTCGAGATTTTGATAGGGAAAAATTTTCTTTTTACATTATAAAAATTTTTTAAATGTCTAATGTCTAAAAAGAGTCAAAACAATATAATTTGTAGGTAGGTAGTAGGTACTATGTATAGATAATATGAATATAAAAATTTAATGAAATTTCAAGTATCTGTAATAACTTGTTTTTGAATAACAACAAAATAAAAAAAAACGATTTTGTCAAAAACTGGTTTATCGTAAAAATTACCATTTACCATAATTTTTTCAATACAATTTTTTACAAACACCACAGTTAATATTGAACATTGAAGTATTTTTCTGGCTATTGCTATAATAAGTCATTAGACACACACAGAAAAATACCCATCATTGTAAAACAAATATATCCATCGCTCCGCTTAGAATTTAAAATAATGTTAAGAAAAGTTTAATCAAATGGTGTAAGTGTGTAACATAAATAAAAAAATGAATAATTTATTTAGTATTTTTAAATTAAAATATTTATTAATTAGACACTATTGAAATGGTTAACATAATTTTTAATCACATTTTAATCAGTAGAAAATATTTTAATCGAATTTACCACTCCTTTATAATTTTAAAAGTAACAACTAGTCTTACCTTTAAATTAGAATTATACCAATAGTGAAAAATTAAAATCCACAGAATTACTACCTATCAGGTATATGTAATTCTAAAAAAAATGTAATTATTAATATAATATAGATAAACTAGTTGGAAAATATTAAATACGACTACCTACACACATTTAAGTACCGATAGGTATATAGTCGATAATATATGGTTATAATCAGTTGCTTAAATCATCAGTATATAAAAAAAACGTGAATGTGTAACGTCCTATATTAACTAGGTAATTCGTTTTTTTATTTGCCTTTATCTTTTTAATTATTATAGTTTCATACATTGAATTTTAGGTTGATTTAAATTTTTGAAAAAAAATTGTTCTACTCATTAAATTACTTTGTCATTTTATACTTAGGTATATTATTTTTAATTTTGAAACAGAGAATATAGGTATATCAATGTTAACCAATAGAATTAAAATTACGTATTTTTTTCAAATCTATGTGTATACCTAATACCTATAATAATATGAATCATGATCATCCAGAAATACTATTATTATTATTTATTTGTTTAATATATAATTTTTAATGAAAAATAATAATAATTATTATTCTACGCAATTAAATTCATTACATAATATTCTGTATTAGGTACTATGTCTATTCATCAACACGACTTAGGTATCCATACTTATTTTATGAAACAATTAAGCGTGTATAATTATTCGAGTCAAAGATTATTCATATTATATACCAGTTTGAGAAACTGATCTATAAAATAAACGACATAAACTTATATATAATTAATATAGTTGAGTAAAATTTCATAAATATTAATGTAAAATAATATTATAATAATTTAATATATTGATATCCAGTTAACTCATATAAAGTCATAAATCATAATTATTGGAGGCTGATGTATAAATTATTGTTATCATTACAATAGAATAAATAAAATGTTTAATTTAAAATAATGTTATATCTTATATTATATAATAATAATAATAATTAGGTACTTATATAGGTAGGTAATATTATCAATATGGTCGAAATTCAACCAAAAATCAACACGCCCTAAAACATTGCATCTATAGCGCAGACTAAGTTCGGTATTGGCGTTTGTGCTTTTTTCTTTTTACTCTAGTTTTTATTCGTATAAAACTATAAGACTACATAACCTAGATGACAAAAACAGGTATTTCGTGTTTTAGTTTTTAAGTTTATAATATAAAGTACAAACATACGGACATTGTATTTTATTGTATACATTTAAAAAACAAATAATAATTAACTATTATTTTATTTTACTTTTTTGTATTAGTTAGGTCCCTGATTTTTATATTTTGTGTTTTTTTTTAATTTTAATATTTTTACCATAACGGTAACATATGTGTGCAATTTTTTTTTCGTTAAGTCTATTCGACAATACCTTTTACATTTTAGGTATACATATTTCTCCCTGCTCTGTATACAGACGGAGTTATCGGTACGACAAAAAAAAATTAATATTAAATATTAATATATTATAGATAATAATAATAAAATATTTATTGTATAATATATAGGTAGTCTTGTTAATATAATGTGCCTATATACCTACCTATTACAAGTTTTTCGTGTTGGATTAATTGGATCCAATCGCTTGATTAGTCACCTCTGTGATAAGAAGATAGTTCTTAAAAGTATAGTGATTAGGAAAATATTATGTTATTGATAGAAAATAATTGTGATTAGGTACATTAAATTATAATTTATAATCATTAACACTCGCAGTATAGTTAGTTGGAAATCAGACTGTGGTTTTATAAAATGCACAATTTATGGCCAATATATATTATGTAGATATAATGTAGGTAGTATTGTAGAGAACCTACAACTGCACCCTACAACCTACTACTGCATTAATTTTATTTCTATCTAGGTACCTACATAATATCATTAGATAATCATTTAATTATAAATTCGGTACTATATTTTAAACATATAAAAAAATCTATATCATATAACGGCATAGTATATATTTTAAGGCTCTAAGCATTGTTAAAATTGTATGCAAATTTAACAATATCGGATCCACATAATATCAATAGAATATTGTAGCTACAAAAACAAGAGCATCGGACTCGTACAAAAACATAATAACACCACCATTGCATTTATTTTAATTGATGGTTAGACTATTAATTAATTAATTCACATTATTGCTTCCCAAGGCCTAAAAGCTGTGTTTTTCAACCTTCAAACTTCGTCTGTAATATATATCACTACAACTATATTGACATTGCAATTCTGCCAATTCGTAATTGATTCAGGAGAAGAAAAACTAGGGAAATAATTTGGGATTTTAATATTTCTGCTGATCATGCAGATACTAAAATTTAAATACAATACACTAATACTTATTTATATTAAACTTTTCACAGAGATACCAAAAATCTTCTAGCACAATTCACAATACTATTTTAATTTTATAAAAATTGTACATAACATGCTTTTACCTATACGCTTCATATTTTCTTAATAAAAAAAATAATTTATTGCTGCATCAGGAAATATTATACGTAAATCACAACTAACAAGTACCTAAGTATTCATAAATATTACAAAAAAAAATAAAAAATATGCTTTCATAATTAAAAATTTTTAGTCCTTAATTGATACATTACAAACATCAATCATTATTTTTAAATTATACATTTAAGTTATGTTGTTTTGTATATTCAATAATTATATGGTTATGGTGTGAGTATCTACCTATTAAAATTAAATATTAAAAACATCATTTTAGCATATTAATTAGGTTGTGTTAAAACATGGCCAGCTAGTTAAAAAACATAAATGGTTGTAAATTCAACAAATGGTAAAATTATAGAGATGATGCAAGGAACACTGCAGATAGCGTATTTATTAGAATACGTTTTAGCTAAATAATAAAATAGGTAATAACAATAATAGTAAATATTCGATGTGTCAAATAAAAATTTCATTCTTTATCTTTACTAAATTTGAATAATATTTCATTTTTAACCAAGTAATAGTATATTATATATTATATTATTTACATTTTAGGTACTTTTTAAACAATGTTACAGATGGAGTCTTGAAGACAGTTGAAGTTATTAATAAATTATAAATATGATAAACTTAATATCATTAGGGAATTTGATAATTTTAAAGCCAAAATAGTAAATTTAATGTATTGTATAATTGCATGTGTATATTTTATATTTTTTGAAACCTTGTTTAATAATTAATTGCTATAATATTTCATAATAAAATTGGATGTGTTTCAAAAT